CACCCCGCTTATTTTGTCACACTGATAATATAAATAGCACTTTCAGCCAAAACAACTCGAATGCCCCCCGGAGCCATTTCGGAAATCTATACCGAGCGGTAATTTCATCAGGATAACAACATGGAAAGCGAGGTGGGCAGTGTTGTTTGGAAATCAATGCCTTTTAAGCATCTTTTAAAAACCTCTCTCCCTTTCAATGCAAGAAGTTGGGGATTTAGCGGCCACTTTCCAGAAAACAAGACTCACCCCCCCTTGCCGTAGAGGCGAGTTTCACCGCATTCTGAAGTCGTATTTGTGGTCTTGTGGCTTCTTCTCCTTGACGGTGACCCTGGAAGCTGGAAAACAAAACATTTGAAATATACAGTTTGAAAACAAACAAACCAGGAATCCATTAAGGAGAGAGAGAGCACCCTCCCTGAGCCATTAATATTGAAAAAGGAAGGGATGTTCCACAGTCTTTTGGTTTCTTCACCCTATTCCAGCTATTTCTATCTCCTGGACGCTGAAGAAGCGAGTTCCTGTTCCTCTGGAGAAATTGGGCGAGAAAGACTGAAGCTCACTGCAAACGGGTGGATGCCGCCATTAACAAACCGGCCTCCTCGGGAACATTTCGTGCCCACCCCAACATAATGCCATATCATAATGTTCAAGTGTTCATAGCGTGTAAACTGCAGGCCTCTTGTTCAGACACATAATATTGAGTACAAGGAAGGGATCACAGTTGTAGGTACATACCAAAAAACAAGGAAACACTGTGATAAAAATAACATCTCATAATTCATGTGAACATCAATATGTATATCTATTCAAACATGACAATTTTGCTTAGGAAATTGACATATTCAAGGGAAAGCCCAACATCATGATATCCTCCATGGGCAGCCATTATTCGGTATTCTTAATCCACAGCCAGCTCACGGTGTTCGTTCGATGGTCCATGCATGGGGATGACTGACACGGGGGGGGGGGGGGTTTTTTTCCTAAGCAGCCAAAGCAGAACAACACAGAACTCTCTTCCCTGATATCCATTGTCCTCCTTTCCTCCCGTCGACATCTCCATCATCGGCTCCCTGAGACAGGAGCTCTGCAGAGCACGAGGATCCCAAGATAGTCACATTAACACAGAGACATCAGAGGGTATCATGAAGAAGGAGGAGGAGGAGGAAGAGGAGGAGATTGGATTTATACCCCATCCTTCACTCGGAGACTCAGAGCGGCTTACCATCACCCTTCTCTTCCCCTCCCCACAACAGACACTCTCTGTGAGGTAGGTGGGGCTGAGAGAGCTCTCTCGAGAACTGTCCTTGAGAGAACTTGTGACTGACCCAAGGCCACACCAGCAGCTGCACATGGAAGAGTGGGGAATGAAACCCGGTTCTCCCAGATTAGAGTCCGCGCTCCTAACCACTATGCCAAAGAGGGACCTTCATTATTTGGGGGAAGAAGAAGATGAGAAGAAGAGATTAGATTTATACCCCGCCCTTCACTACCCAAAGGTGTCTCAGAGTGGCTTACAAACTCCTTTCCCTTCCCCTCCCCACAACAGACACCCTGTGAGGTAGGCGGGGCTGAGAGAGCTCTTTCCAGAACTGTCCTTGAGAGAACAGCTCTGAGAGAACTTGTGACTGACCCAAGATCACACCAGCAGCTGCAAATGGAGGAGTGGGGAATCAAACTCCGTTCTCCCAGATTAGAGTCCGCGCTCCTAACCACTACGCCAAACTGGGAAGCCACCAAGGGAAACACACCACATCAGAAACTTGGTTTAGAAGACAGCATCATATTCAAGCTCGGAGCTCGCTGGCAAAGTTCAACAAAGCGGGTCTGGAGGCTGCACACGATCCCCTTTGCGGAAGGATCCTTACCTGCCCTTCCTCCAAAACGGCCTACCATGTGGCGTACAGGTATGATAGAGACAAAAGAGAGCAAGTTAAAACAATCAAGCAGAACCAGTGCCAGAAAGTACGCCAGATGTTCCCGGGGAGAGGGAGGGAGGGAGGGATATGCTTGGCCCCGGGAAAATGACACAGAAGGTGCCAGCTATTATTATTATCACATGCCATTTATTAATTGCCTACCCCTTACAGTTGTGGCACTCTAGGCGATGTACAAAATTCTTAAAAGCATCAAAACATAAAACCATACCCAACAACATACAATAATTAAAAACAAGTGGTGAAACTTTTGTCGCGCGCCCATCATGTCTGGCCTGCAAGTGCTTCACACATTCAGGGGGAGGAAGTTCTAGGAGGAAACAGGGGCCCAGGTGGAGTGCTGGCCACAATGTTAACCGTTGCTGTCCTGGCAGAACACCTCTTACAGGTCCTGCAGAATTGCGCAAGATCCCGCAGGGCCCTGATGTTATTCTGCAGAGAGTTCTACCAGGTTGGGACCCGTGTTTCCTCTAAGCTGAGTGAGTGTGAGCCAGCTCACAGTTTTTTAGCCTCCGGGCTCACGCATTCTTGTCTTAGCTCAGGAAGGAGGGCTCCAGAGCATACTAATGGATGCAGCAGCCCAATCGCTCGCTCACAACTTTAATGCCAGTAGCTCACAAAGTAGAATTTTTGCTAACAAGACTCCACAGCTTAGAGGGAGTGGGCTGGCTCACAGTTTTTCAGCCTAGTCCAGCTCACACGTTTTTGTCTTCGCTCAAGAAGGATGGCTCCAGAGCAAAGTAGCCAATTCATCGCTCACAACTTTCATGCCAGTAAAGTTCACAAGAGTAGAATTTTTGCTCACAAGACTCCATAGCTTAGCGGGCGCCTTGGTTGGGACTGAGG